ATTTTTAGAGAAAACCAATTAGAAAGAAATGTCATTTTCACTAAAAAATTTCATAAATCTAGAGTATCTTGCATCTATTAAATTATCAGATTAAAATTGCAGTTGTCAGTATTTATAAAATCGTGGTGAAATCTATACCTTAGAGGAAATAAAACAGTTTATAGATTCTAAAACCTAATTAATAACATAAATCAGGAGCATAATAAATGAACTCATGTGGGGAATACATTCCAAGGAAATTGTCAAAACAGGAAAATTGAGACAACTATAGGATGATGCCACTCATAAGTGAGATATCAAGAAACAAAGCAGAGGAATATAAAAAATCAAACTGAAACACACTTTTAAAGTTCAAGTTTACTATAGAAAATGTGTTTGAACGTGTAACATCCTCCCCCTTCTCTCTACTCTCTTTGTCTCTCATTTTTGTCTTTGTTTTTGTCCTTGAACCCCGATTGGCTCTGCTCAGAAGGAATTCTTGACTCTGTACTCAGAGATCACTCAGGGAAGGGCTTGAAAGGGTGCACATGGGGAACTAGAGGGTACTAGGGATTGAACTCAGTTGAGCCTTATACAAGCACGTGCCTTGTCTGCTGTACTATCTCTCTAGCCCGGCTATTCTTATTCATTATTATTTAGTAGTAAAGATATCACAGTATGCAAATCATGTTACTTCATTTAGCAAGTACTTACAAAGTTTTATTGAACAATAGACCCACCACCAACAGTGAATGTGGCCTCGTTTTTCATCTCACATTCATGCCAGCATTCATTGTTTAGGGACTTTTTGATCATTCTCACTGGAGTTACTTTGATTTGCATTTCACTGCTAATAAGTGAATGATAAACATTTTTTTGTCATACTGTTTTGGCATCTGTATGTCTTCTTTAAGAAAGTGTCTGTTGTCTCATTTTTTATATGATTGAGTTTTATTTCGTTTTAGGGACGTTTTGCTTATTTGTTCTCTTGAGTTTTGTGACTTCTTTATGTATCTTTGACATTACTCACATATCAAACAAATAATGTATAATTTTTTATTGCATTTAACAGAATAGTTTTTTATTTTAGCCTGCATTTTATAGTACAGATTAATTTTGACTTCTGTAGTCCCATTTATTTATATGTGTCTTTGTATGGGCTGGAGCGATAGCACAGCGGGTAGGGCATTCGCCTTACAAGCGGCCAACATGGCCGACCCGAGTTCAATTCCTCCGCCCCTCTTGGAGAGCCCGGCAAGCTACCGAGAGTATTCGATATGCCAGACACAGTAACAACAAAGTCTCCAATGGAGACGTTACTGGGCCCGCTCGAGCAAATCGACGATCAACGGGAGGGCCTTTACCTTTACCTTTTGTTTATATTTGCTTTTGTGTTCTTTTGTCAATGGGATCAAATCACTAAGGCCACTCTGAGGCCAATAGCATTGAAAGTTCTGTGTTTTCCTCAATGTATTTTATGAGTTTGTGTCTAATGTCAAGATCTTTAATCCATTTTTAGCTAAACTTAGTGTATGGTGTTCAGTTTCTTTTTCCTTCTTTCTTTTTCCCTTACCTGTGGTTAAGCAGTTTTCTAGCACTATTTATTGAAGAGTTTTCATTGCTCCTCTTAATGCATTTAGTCTCTTTGTCATATATTAACTCTCCATCATCTAAAATCTTACCTCTCAGATTTCAATTTTATTTCATTGTTCTGAGAGTCAACTTTTTACTAGTACCACACAGTTTCAGTTACTGTCACTGTCACTGTCCTTCCATTGTTCATTGATTTGCTCGAGCGGGCCCAGTAACATCTACATTGTGATAATTGTTCGTGTGTTTGGCATATCGAATACGTCACGGGTAGCTTGCCAGGCTTTGCTGTGAGAGCGAGATACTCTCTGTAGCTTGCCTGGCTCTCCGAGAGGGGCGGAGGAATCGAACTCAGGTCAGCCATGTTGGCCGCTTGCAAGGCAAACGCCCTACCTGCTGTGCTATTGCTCCAGCCCAGTTTCAGTTACTATTGCTTTATAATAATAGTTGGAATCTAGGTAAAGTAATGTCTCCAGTTTTATTTTTTCTCAAAATTGCTTTGATTACTTTGGGAATATGTTTCCAAATGAATTTTCAGAAGTATTTATTCTATATCTTTGAAGAGTGTCATGGGGAAAGAATTGCACTGATTTTGTACAGTGTTTTGGGTAGGGAGAATAATAATTTCAATGATATTAATTCTTCCTGTCCATGTGCATAGGATATATTTTCATTTTGTTGTATCTTATTTCTTTTAGTAATGATTAATAGTTTTCTCTAAATAAATATTTTATCTTCTATGTTTGTTCATAGGTATTTATTTTCCAAAATAATGATAAAAGCTTTTTAAAAATTTTATTTTGTTCTGCATCATTGTTTGCCTAAAACTGTGGCATTGATTTTTTTAGGCTGCTTCATATCTATATATATGTATATATATATATATATATATATATATATAAATTTATTGTTTGGAGGATGTCCTAATGGAGTCTTTAAGGTTTTCTATGCGTAATATCACATCCTCTATAAATAATGATCATTTAATTTCTTTTTTACAAATTTAAATACTTTCATTTCTTTTTCTTGCTTAATTGCTGTGACTAGGACTTCATTTTCTATGCTGAATGATAGCGATGAGAGAAGTCATCATTATCTTGTGCTGACCTTAGAGGAAAGGCTTTTAGTTTTATGTCATGTACAATAGCGGTGAGTTTGTGGAATAGTCTTTACTCTGTTGAAATAAGTTGTTTCTTTCCTTTTTTGAGGGATTTTTAATCACAAATGGGTGTTGAATCTTTTCAAACATTTTCTCTGTATCCAGAGTATTTAACCATTTATCAAGAATGGAATATGTGCTCAGTAGTCATATATGAATGGAAGGGGCAGTTTTGGACCTTGTTTTATCTTGATAGCTAGTACCCATGGGTGGGTAGTTCTGGTACAGATTGAGATCAAAGATCCCTACCAACTTACAGATATTACACAAATACCACCACAGAACTCAACATTGTGCCACTGAATGACTTGTCCCACTGCTCTCCACAGGCAAAGCTCTTCTGGCCTTAGATATTCCTAGTTCCCTCTTCCCCTCGGGAACATGTATCTTAGCTGTGACTTTGGTGCCTGGCAGTGAACATTTAATCATCATGTAAGAAAATTGTTGATGTCTGGTTTATCATTATCAGGGTCTCATGCAAAATTCTGTACGTAGCTATTTTGGGTTATATGGTTTTGCTAAGGGTGTCAGGGAGCCCTCTCACATCACTCCTTCCTCCTTTTCTACCATTTTAGTCCTACTTTCTTTACCTTATGCAGTCTTAACATCTAACAAACACTATTCTAAACACTGTATTCCTTGGTTACTATGACAAATATATGAAGATACTGTTGCTATCACATTCTTCAAAAATTAACAATCAAAACAAAGAGAACATTAAGTATCTGGAACACACTGTCACATTGGTGCATGTGGTGGAACTGTGGATTCAGGCAGTCTAACTGTAAGGGCTAAGATACTAACTGTAAGGATGGCCTAACGGTAAGGGCTAAGATTGACTTTTTAGTGGGCCAACCAAACATATTCAGTGACTGCTTGTGTAATTTGACAATGTGCGTGTGCTTATGTGTGATGGAGAAGAAGGAGGATAAGAGAGGACACATTCCTTAACTTGAAGATCACTCTATTGGATTGAGCTAACTGTTCCCTAATTCTGCTCTCTCAGCCTCAATGTCACCCACATAATAACTAAATGTTATACATTAGGAAACATAATGACCAGGTTCTGAATGTAAATCTAACAGACTCTATATGCCAATGTCAGAGAAATCCTAAAGCAACAGAAAGGCACTCAAATCTCAAATGTTAAACTCAAGTTCCTCTTTGTCCATATATTTGTATGTACCTGCATATGCATGTCACATTTATACACAACATGTACATGTGAACAATATAACAATAAAACTATTAAACTGGTACTACAAACTTAAATATTGAAGTAACTTTTATTATACCCTAATTTTAATGCCTAGAAACTCATAATGCATTTGCTTTTTGCATTGTTATTATATGTGTCTCATATACACATATATAATCGTGTGTATGAGAATGATAGATATAAAACTCCGTATCTTTCCAAATGAAGAGTATTCTAAAATTGCAAGCCAAATTTTTACAAATGTGGAAAACTGTTCCAATGTTTAGGTTAAAAATAAAGGCTCTATAATTAGGTTAAATTCCAGTTCAAACACAGGTATTTTCCATATTACTCTAGGCATTTATACTCTATAAATATCACAATACCTTAACTTCCTCATCTATTAAATGGTTGTTTATGCCTCAGAGGGTTGTGAAAACAAAAGATTTAAACTTAAAACATAAAAGTAACTTGGGTAATATGAGAGATTATAATTTTTATTGTGATACTTATCTACAAAATCAATCTTTTTATTATGCAGTTAAACATTTTTCAAGTTTTTGTGTTTACTCAACAGTGGAATTGTTATTGATTAATTTTATGCGTTCCAAATTTGATCCAATGAATAAATTTATACTAATGAAATGCTACTTCAATTTGAAAACTGGCTCTATTAAAAATTTTATTAGAAAACAATGCTCTATCTTAATGAAATAATGCATTGCATCATAATGACACTTATGTTTTATGCTCTATGTTGATTACCCCACAGGGAGATTACTTTTTTCAAATATGTTTTGTATGTGTGTGTGTTTTCCTGTCATTTTAAGCTTACTTCAGAATAATATTTTTATAATAATACTTAAATCAAATTACAAGAAAATATTAAACCTCTTATTTAGTGGAGTAGAGGGCGGTGTTTTGGTGAATGGTTCTATTTTTAAGGAGCAATCATTTAACATTTTTTGTACTTCCTTTCAAGACTGGTTCTTTTCTTGGCAATAGAACTGATTGAAACGTGCAAAGGCATTTTAAGTAAACAATCTGTTTGTTTTTTTTCTTTTATTTCTATAGTCATTCCCAACACAGCACTGCAACACGCCAGCCCTCAGTGACACTGCAAAGGGCCATCTCCCTGGAAGGGTAAGATAAGAAGAATGAGCAGACTGTTTTTAAACTGCAGTCTCATCACTTTAAACATAATTTCCCCCTTTATTCTCTCTCTTTGTGTTTCTCTCTGTGTGTTTCTCTCTGTGTTTCTCTCTGTGTTTTTCTGTGTTTCTCTTCTCTCTCTCTCTCTCTCTCTCTCTCTCTCTCTCTCTCTCTCTCTCTCTCTCTCTCTCTTCTCTTTCTCTCTTGCTAATAGAAAATATCTATGAAGCTTGCTTCCTTAAATGCTAGGCACTCTGCTAGGTACTAGATTAAACAAGTTAAGTTAAGTAACTTCTTTCTTCTTTCCCTGAAGAGTTCGTTGTCCAAGGGGAGTGACAAATTCACACCCATAGGGCATATAGTATCATACAGGAAAAAAGTATAAAGTATTAATTGGGGTTACAGAGAAGATATTTGGATGAGAATGGATAATAAATAAAGAAGAAGAGTATATCAGGATGGTTTTAGAGAAGCTGTAAATCTCAAAGCAAGAGCTCAAATATTTGAGAGTATTTGCTGACTCATATTAAAAGGAAGCATACTCTGAGCAGAAGAAAGAGCACAGAAAAACAAACTCCTGAACATGCATGAACCTATACAAAATAGCCAAGTAATTCAGTGACAAAAAATTGTCTATGTGTAGACAAAAAAATTGTCTAAAGTTATGGGACAGGGTAAGAAAATGGAGATGATGGTTGAAAGGATTGACTTATGAGACACTCATTTTACTGTCTCTAAAATACCCAACCAAAAACCTAGAGTTGAGGAAAGGCATATTTTTTTCTCTACTCGTTTTATAATTTCAAATAGTTTATTTGAGACCACTTAACTATGATAAGAATAGTTTAACACATAAGCCATATAATTTTATAATATCTGTTAGCAACTGTACTTTGTTAAGTATTTCCCAATAACAAGTAGACTGAAAGGCATTTTCATTAAACCCTCAAACTTGATGATTGATCTGTTTTGAAAGTAATCTATGATTCAGGCTTCTAGTCATACTTCCAACCAAATAGATTGCACCCAAAATATTTTGGAGTTGAGGGAGATGTGACCTGTTCTTTACAAGGTTCTAGTTCTTTTTTTCTCTCGGTTTGTCTTCTAGTAGTACCGAGATAGAAAGCTAAAGGGAAAAAGAATTTCTGTAGTGTTCTGCTGCAGAGTCCCTTTTCTATTGGTCACCTCTTCTGGCAACCATCACTTTGGTGCGTGGAGAATCAAGCAAGCCCCATGCTATCAGGCTTAAGCAAAAGTCCATTGTATGTTCTGAGTGACTTGTTACCTGTGGCATCCTCTGCTTCTGACCATGCCACGGGCTCTGCACTGCAGCAGACATTCATATGCCATTGGCGTCTCTTCTCACTTCTCCTCAGCAGCTCCAAAGGGGGTCGCTTGATGACCTGAACAGAATCTTTCTCTTCATAGTCCTGAGGTAGATTGTACAGGGATGGTTCCTGCCTCAGCACTCCTCAACTCCCCCCACCCCCAGTCTCACGCCCTCCCCCACACACACCCCATTCATCTTCCCATCCTGTCTTCTTAGGATTTTTTCCAATTTTTTTTAGCAGAAATGGGGTAAAATAAGCAATCTTCTTATATTCCTAAATACTCTCGAGGGTTCTCTTTTAGCCTTTAGCTAAGAAACACATTGATTTTCCCCAAACCTATGAGAGGTGAGTGAAAGGATTATATTTTCTCTACAGACTTTCTACCTTTTCCCAAAAGGATTCTACCTTCTCCTAGTCCTAGTCTTCTGTTTGGGTGGTGAGGAAGAAGATATACATCAAATATTTTAATTCTTCCTTTATAAAACAATATTAAGAAAACCAAAGCAAAAGAAAAGTGATAGAGAAGGGAAGGAGAAGGAGAGAGAAAGACAGAGAAGTGATCTGATTGATTAAATGTAAATTTAGCTCTGGAGGGTTAAATGACCCTTTTTTATCCATAGGGTGCCATCTCTATTGTACATTTATTCTATTCCATAAACTCATCACAAGCCTCACCTGTAAACTTTTAAATATGTACATGCCTTATTATATACTCCATGTGCTAATATAGACTACTCTAAAGTATATATTTAAATAGCATATTTTAGGATTACATTGCCATTACATGTATAGCACGGTGCACGGTGCTCCCGTTGTTCATCGCTTTGCTCGAGCAGTCCCAGTAACATCTCCATGGTGAGACTCATCGTTATGTCTTTGGCATATTAGATACATCACAGGAAGCTTGCCAGGCTTTGCTGTGTGGGCAAGATACTCTTGGTAGCTTGCCGGACTCTCCAAGAGGGCCGGATTAATCGATCCCGGCTCTGCCGGGCGAGTTGCATGCAAGGCAAACTCCCTACCACTGTGCTATCGCTCCAGTGTGCTTACTATTAATAATAAGTCTAATAATAATAATTGCTCCAGTGTGCTTACTATTAATAATAAGTCTAATAATACTTACTGTTATTTTATATAATAAAATACACTTAAGTGATTTTACAGAATCTAAATTATTGTTTGAGTCTGCTTCATTGTTGAGTTACTGTGTATCTTAATACTTAAATTTATAAACGATGCTTAAATGCTCAGTAAGGATTTGGGGAGGTAGAAGACATGAGGTACTCATCTGGTTGCACGTGTTCCCAGGCATGAGCAGTAGCAACACCCAAGCCCAGAGCCTCGAGTAACCCTTGAGCACATTGAATTGTGGCCCAAATTCCCTCCCATATGACCAGCACCTTCACCACCACCACACACAAGATATTTATTAAACACTTTATATAATAATTTGTCTTTTCTATATATTGGCTATCCTCAGATCCAAAAGATAGATGGCGTGAAATTTTTAAATGCTCTTATGTTTCGATATCCTTAGAAAGTTTAGGAGAAAACACACCCCACAGAGTGGGAAACAGCCTCCCCAGCCTCTGAGACTTCTAGGGCTGAACCGAAGACATTCTTAGGCAGTACAATACAGTAGAGGTTTGTAAAGTCAGTGACATTCTACAACCTCCCAGTTTTTCCTGTGGAAAGAGCCATGGTCCAAAGAAAATTCTTCCACAAAACTCAGTTCTGCATGTGAAAGGTCAAGGGCATTAGCATCAACAAAGGGATGTAATAGCAGGCTATGGAGAAACCACCTATTGGATTAGAGGCCTAGGGTTTGAAAAAGAACAGATTCACTAGGAAGAAAATGTATAATAGCCCTTGTTAGTTGTTCAATAAAACGATAAAAAAAATTGTCAGATTTTAGTGATTAATTAGTCCTGAGAAATGAGTTTGCCCATTAAAAAGATTTTTATAAGAAATAATAAAAGAAAAAATAGGGAGCTTCATCAGGTGCTTAATGAGATTATGTCCAAAATATAAAACCAACTGGGAATTAGTACAAGTCCATGGATATGCCTTAAGGCAAAAGAAAATAAAGTAACATTTATTGCATTTTTATTAGGTTCCAAGGTCATATCTCTCTCTTTCCCTCTCTCATTTCTCTCTCTATCTCTCTCCTTTCTTTCTCCTTTCCTTCTTTCCTTCTTTCCTTCTTTTTTTCTTTCTTTCTCTCTCTCTCTCTTTCTTTCTCTCTATATTATTTCCATGCTTCTAAATTGTGATTCTTAGGGGAAAATATGTGATTTTTCAATGACACTATATAAAAAGTAGCTCAGTGTAGATTTGACTCTGCAGCACAACACAAATCCATCCCCTGAAATGTGGTATGAGAGGCTGTTTAGCTAAAGAGCACAGGTTTATATTTCTAAGCCATAGTTAGGTTTAGTTTAATAGAGCAAAGAATGTTCCTAATGAAGAACTCTAAGCCTAGAAGCAATGAAACTGAATTAATAACTTACTATTTGGAAAGGCCATGGAAGCCGTGTGCTAAATGGCCAACGTGTTCTTTGTGCCGTTGTCGGGTGTGAGCTTACTGTTTGTCCTTCTCCAACATTCTGTTTAGGAATGGCTCCCTTGACAATTTAGAAGGTGGCTAACTTTCTTCATTTTTGGTCATGAACCTAAAGAAGACTTCCTCCAGCTATGCAAAATGGTGCCATTTTTTTCTAATGCAAATCTTTTCTGTTTCTTATTAACAAAACCTTTATATTCACCCTTTTCTAATTAGCATCTCTTAGCATTTTAAACTGCATTCCACTTGCATGAAATGGCCTCTGATTAAATACAAGTACTAACTCTAATTCCCTGCTAAAATGAAACCCCAAAGATTGAAGCTCTAACTTCAAAAAAAGTGATTCCTTGTTCAATAAACAAAAATAATGTTTTTTTAATCTATGCTTCATTATAATAACCAGCGTATCTTTGCCTCATATGTAGTATCACTGTATCACTGTCATCCCATTGATCATTGAATTACTCGAGCAGGCGCCAGTAATGTCTCTATTCCTCCCAGGCCTGAGATTTTAGCAGCTTCTTTTTACTCATCTTTTCCCAATTATTGGAGGCTCTTTCGGGGTCAGGGGAATGAGACCTGTTGTCATTACTGTATTTGGCATATTGAATACACCAAGGAGAGCTTGCCAGGCTCTGCCCATGTGGGCGGGATACTCTCAGTAGCTTGCTGGGCTCTCCAACAGGCATATATTTATATATTTCTCTCTATGATTTGTTGACTACTGTCTGAGCCCCATCAGATATGGTGTAGTAATTGTGGAAAATGGGTAAGAAGTGTCTTATAGTGTGTCATGCAGCCACATGTGGCTGGCACAGTGTGGCTTATGGGTGTGATCCCTGAGTCAATGGAGACTGGGGGAAGCAGGCAGAGGATCTCTGTTCCAGGGTCCTATTGAGCCCAGAGTCCAAGGTCACAAAGCTTCTGGGTTCTGTGGGACTTCATTCATGTGTGAGGCTTGGCCTGAGCATCCATAAAGCAGCCTGGAGCGTGGCGGTGGTTGGGTAGTGGAGGTTGGCTTTCTGGGCTGAGTCTCTTGGGGTGGGGAGGGCTCTCACCCGCCCCACAGCCTGGTGTGGATGTGAGGGTGATCTGGC